GGGGGGGGGAATAAAAATAGAGCATGAACAATTCTCGCTACATTGTTTACATTGTCGTTGTCTCGCGCTCATGGGTTTTGTGATAGACTGGTGAATACGAGCCATCATAGGTACAAGCATCGTAATAGGACCTAGTACCTAGGTAGATTGACGATCTGTATCGTAAAGAACCTGTGAAATAAAGTACCTGCATGAAGTATAACGATCGAAGCGTTACATCAAGCAACTTCCGTTCAAAGTTTCAAGGGTTCACGTCAGTAGGCCAGACCCCATCACACTGACTGATGCCGGTTGTTTGCGATTGCGGGGTATAATCACCAAGAGCAAAGCCGGGCGTGACTGCAAGGGCCCTTTGGCTTCTTAGAATTTCTTCATTGGCTGTGGCACAGCGTGTGACTACGGAGCATAATTCGGACAATCACAGTTGCATCAGTCTCAAGTCTTGTCGTCTTGATGGTTCATGTCTACATGTCCAGTCACGTCGAAAGAAAGGGCATCCAGTTGTTGCACGGCACGTTGTATTTGTAGATGACAAGAAAAGTCTGTTTATCAATTCCAATCGCTACCACATGTATACATGTCTTTCATTTGCTTAAAAAGAAGAATCCATAACAGCCAGATCAAGAGGCTTTCTGTGCTCAAATTGCCGACAACGCCGATAGAGAGGAGGGGGATAGCCTCAGAGTTGAAAACATGACTGCCAGAATAACTTGATATCATCGTAAAAAGGAGGGGAATCTGGTATGTGCTCCGGCAAACAAGCCTACAAAAACTGACAAAAGTCTTGGCCCAAAAAACTCCAATATGCAAACGAATGGATATACGAAAACAGTCAAACACACCGCCGGGGCCAACTGTCGGCCGTCTTTTCATCTAGTACCCGAACCCGTCATGCTGATGCACCGGGCATCTTCCCGGGTGATTGACAAACCAGGCTGAAATACAAGATCGGTGAAATCTACAAAGACACTCAAGTCGCGCCATCGGAATGCCAACCGTAAACTCTTCTAAACAAATAGTGCACTCCGCGTCGTCGACACAGTCTTTCTCCGTTGCGGGATACGTGTACATGCCGGTGCGCCGCGGGGGAGGAGGTGGTGTGGCGCTGTCTGGCGCTGCGCGAGGGCTGCCGTAGGTGCTGTGAGATTGGATACATGTGGTGATATGTGACTCTCGTAAGGCTTCAAAGTTGGGTAGTTCCCTAGATGGTAGCTCCAGATGGCAGATGGGACACTCATCCTCTTCTGCAATTTGGGGAGGGAGAGGCAATGCCCTTTGTCGAGATGACGAGCCCGGCTCTCCGGTCAAACGTCGTCGATGAATATGGTGCTGGTTCTGCATATTAAAGGGCGATGGTCCAGCGGCCAGCAGGCGATTCAAAGATGAAACCTCATAATTGGCACTGCTGCGCCGGCGTGAGGATGACGAGGATGAAGCCCCTCCTGCTCTTTGTCCGGTTGGATCCTAGATATTACAGGTCAGATCAGTGGCTCCAGTTAATGGTGTTATTATATACGTGGGCTGATATGCCTACCATGGTGATGCTCCTTGTCCTGGAGGTGTAGAACTGGTAAGGATCATTACTCTGACCAGCTGCAAACACTCCCCCGTATCGATTGTTGACAGAAGGTGAAGGCGGATATCCGCTGCCCGTGCTATTCCGAGACCTGCGTCGTGCCGTACGTGGTGACAACCCGGGAGAGCCGGGGCTTTGCGGAGGCGCTGTATTGGGATCAGGAACACATGGGTTGCAGAGACGCACTCGCTCGCCGCCGGATAGTCCATTCATGTCAACATAACCACCACCCGAACTATCGAAAAACAGTGCTGGAGGAAGTGGCACCTCGGAGCCAGGTGCCCGGACGATGAACTGGTGCGGAATGATGATCCTGTGAGGGGAGCAAGAGTTGCAAACAACTCTCCCGCATTTTCTGTTTCCATCATTGTCAGCCATCCATATGTCTGATTCGTGAACAATAAACATACCTGCAGTGGTGTTTGCGCACAAAAATGCTAAACTGAGTGCGACATATAGGACAGTAAGTCACTTCGCCATCGGGCTGCCACCTAGGAAGAACAACCGACGACTGGCGTTCGCGCTCACGTTCAGACGACCTTGTCAGAGAATGGTGGTGTAGAGTATTCTCATTCGATATTCTATCCGTATCGACAGCGTACATGGCTGATAGCTGGTCTCGTGCGGACATCCTGGGCGAGGTGTTCTCTGCCATATCCGCAGCCGGCGCGCTGGTAGACATTGCTCCACTGGGCTGTTCAAAAAGCTCGCCCCAGCTTTCACTGCTGGCCGAGCCGGCTGGCCGCAAGTCGATACTTCTGGAGGAAATGCGAGTTCTGATCGGCAACGATGATGTTCTAGCGGGTAGAGCCGCAGGATCCGCTGTTGACGTCCTCGTTGTGTGGCTCTCTCTTCTCTCAGCCGCCAGCCCAGATGTTATCTCTGACGAGGACGCCAAAGGATCCGTAACAAGACTATTTTCACCCCGCTGCTGTTCGGCTGCCGTATCTTCTTGTTCTGATTCTGGGATTTCGTCGATCGAACTTCTGGGAGAAACGAGATCGTCTCGAATTTCGGTCGCTTCGGCAGCGCTCTCTCTTGGCTCGTCGGTGCCGTCTATAGAGAGTCGCCTCTCCACCAGGTGAGACGGGCAGTCAAAGTATCGATAGCACTCCTGGTCGTGAAATTCGGGCGTTCGCCAGCGACAAGTAAAATCTTGGCTGTTTCGTTCCTCGTCGCTCGAATAGGGCGAGTCAGGCGTCGCATCCGCAGTGACACTCGCCTCCCTTGCATCATGGGGGGCGAGAGCGCTCGGTCCACCTTGCTGGCTGGCCATGCTGCGACAGTTTAGACAAAGACAGCGGCTTAAACAAAGACAAGATGGCGGGACAGAACGGTCGGTGACGCCGAGAAGAAACTGGGTTGGTCCTGATGGCCTCTGCTCCGGCGGAACGAGGGATAAACAGTAGCGAAATAGAGTGCGGGCGGGAAGCTTATTATGTGTTGATGATAATAGACCTCAAGCCCCCCCAAGCGCGAGACACTTTGAGCGATGATGCACCACAGTACCACGCCTCCTGAGAGGGTTCAAGTCATGTTCGAGTGATGTAACCGCTGTAAAGGAGACGCTGCGTCAGGCCAGCAGAGCGATCAAACAGAGCGGAAATGCATGGAATCACCACCTCGTCGAAGCCCCCTTGAATGTAATGTAGGTTGAGACACACGCGATCACTTATCGCTCAGGCGGGTGAAGCTTATCGAGAGGGTGGCGCCCCTTAGTCATCCGCCCAGCTGACTTTTGGTGGCAATCCTGGTTGGAGGATGCTAATGCGGCTGGGAGCTCAAACGACTGAAGCGTTCCATCGTTTTGTTTCGTGGTCACTGGATGGTACTGTACATGTAATTTTGCGGAGCTATCTACGGAGTACGTGTATGTAATATCACTATTCAGGCAGTAGTACCATTAGTATGATAACAACGCAACTACCAAGCACTTCCCAGGTAGCTTAGCAGCTACGGATTTTTGTGCTAAAAATACTTCAAAAAGATTACGGCTCATCCAGTTGTACGAAAACGTCCATGTACTCCGGAGGAACGATAGTTTGGCTGCTAGCTTTGCAAATGGGGTATCTCGCTTAGACGGCCAGGACGCCTCCTTAATCAGAACTGCTGCAAGCAACCTTGATGGTAATGTCAACGACAGTGAAGATAATGTTGACTGATATTTACTCTCCCACTTCGCGGTCGTTATCCCAGTGTATAAACGAAACGACCCTCCATTGCCACGAGTAATGCCGAATTTGCTTTCCCCAGAAATACAAGGGGATCCACATAAGGAGGACTCCCCCCGCAATTCCCGCCATGGCTCCAAATGCGTCCTGGTAGCCAGAGAGGTCGACCCAGGGATTTGTTTCAAAGGAGAGAAAGAAGGCGAACAGGGCTGGTCCGTGTTAGTCATGGAGAAATCCCTTGACAGCATATATACAAGCAGCGAGCGAAACGTACCCTTGAATCCGGTGACTGCCAACGTTATCTCACCTGCCACTGGACGGTAAGAATCAATGACATAGACTATGCAAATCGTATTGGACTGCGTGATGGAGAAGTTGACTGCATTGAATGGATTAGACTCAGACTCATTCTGTGATTGTTTCATGGGTGAATTCTCTTACGGAGGCCTAGTCCTATGGTTGGACATATCCAGTGAAGCTTGTACTGAATACCAACGCCATAGAGGATCAGGGCAAGTGGCGCGGTGATTGCAGATATCATCACTGCCGGGAGTCGCATTTCGGGCTCTCGAATACCATTGTTTCGTTTCGTTAGGACATCGGCAACCTTGTCTCCGAGGTGGCCACCTGCTGGTAGGCCGAAGAGAGAGCCGATGACGGCGGCGATATAGCAGAGCCCAACCTGGTAAGAAGCAAATCCATACGTCTGGTTGAAAGCCGCAGCCGAGTTGGATGTAACCGCCACTAGAAACCCGATTGTCACTGCTAGAGAGAGAGCAGCCCATAACACCGGCGGGAGAATTATTAAGCCAAAGGGGCGAATCAACATTTTGAACATGTTTTCGCTCGTACCGGCAGCCTTGAATACCAAAAGCGACTCAATGTAGCTCATTTTCTTTGTGGAATTCTGTGTCTCTTCGCGTACAGTCGACACCTGTTTCTCATCTGACACGTCTGGAGAGGGCGACTCATAATGATCTGTCCGCAAATAGCTGGTCTCAGGCACAGTAAAAATAAGAAGCAGAAGGACAAAGCCAACCAAAGCGGAGCCGACTTGATAGATGGTTCTCCAGGTATGGTCTATTGTAATCAGACCAGATACTATCAGACCAGCAGCTGCGCCCACAGATAGAAAGCATGTATACGCAGACATGACCCTGCCTCTTTCATGGAGAAAGAAGATATCCGCAATAGAGATGGGCGCAAGCGTCTCTGCCGCGCCAGAACCAAACCCCATGAGGATCCTCCCCACCAGGAACCTGGCATACGATTTTTCAAAGATGAGCCATATAGCCATGGCAAAGTAGATTGCGTAGCTCACGACGTATACTGGCCGGCGACCCCATTTGTTGGCAGCAGGGACCCAGACAATGTTGCCCATGCCTTGAAGCAGAGACGTGGTAGTGAAGAAGTACGCAGCTTTGGGAATGGCTGAAGTAATTAGTGTGCCATTAGCCAAAGCATTGGGATAGAAATCCATAGCCGTGGGCACCATCGCGATAGCTGGCCCAGCTGCCAGAAAGTTGCACACTGCCATGGTCAGGCAGAGAACGCCAGCGACATAATACTTGCGCCATTTCGACCTGAGTGTATGTATGCGTGAGCTTTAAACCCACCGAACAATGCTGTTTATTGTCAGGATAAGATGCAGTGTGCAATTACATACCAGTTGAGCGGATCATTGGGGTCGGAGGATGGCGTGGGGACCAGAATTACGGCATTCGTTTCTTGGTCAATCAGTCGCAGATTGCCGAGGGTTCGTTTGCGGCTCTTCTCCTTGATATGCTCCTCGGCCTGCGGATCAAGTGCCGGGGCAATGACATCGTCCTGAAGGGTCATGATGGAGCGTGCAAAGAGTGGCGCGAGATGGGCCCTGAGGAGGTTGAATGAGGACTTCAACTCGTGCTCACGAATTTGGCATCATTTGGGAATTGTCTATAAGCTTTCTGTTCTTTTCAGGCAAAATGCTGTCTCAGACGATTGGCACCGTGAGCATGTTGCGCGGCCGTAGAATTAGCCCGAGCAGGCACAAAGAGAGGACAGGCTCTGCAACCTCAGGGGGGGCTGCAGACCGCAGATTGCATGTAAGAATGCAATACTTGTACTATCAAGGCAAGCACATGCAGGGAGGGAACGGGCCCACAGGAGGCGATGGGATAGCAAATGCGCGGCGCTTGGAGGTCGAAGTGAGGGTTGAGCTGAGACACGCGGCTCACGGCTGCCCTATGGCAGTTGAGGCAGATCTGACCTGCGAACAGTCGTCAGTTTTTGGTTACTAAGATAGAAAAGAAAAGAAAATACTACCACATATTCAGCCTTTCAGCGGAAATCCGAAACATGTCGTGCCAGGTTTAAGGGTCTAGCGAGACGTGCCGCGGCGCCAGGCCTAGCAATCGATTGCGCTGCCGCGAGATGGGTGCCAGCAGAATTGAGAATAGGGCGCCGAATTTAGATACCGGCACCAGCATAGCATTGCCCCCGGTATTGGCGAAGAGCACTAGGCCTACCTGTAAACGGGATAGATAGGGGTCCCTAGCTGTGGGTAGGCCCCAGGGAACCACGAGGGATGCCGGGCGACAACGTGCGCGTTCAGAAATGGGCACCTAGAGATTAGATACTGGGGGCATCAGCCAGCCCGTTTCAGCATCCCTGTGCCCGTTACGATTGCGCAACCAGCAGGACGGATTCTTCCGTCTTTGAGACGCCAACGGTGCTGCTGTACCTGATTTTACTTGGAGCACTACAAGGTAGTATTGAAGACGCAGCCGTCTTGAGCATCAGGCAGTATCGATATTCGTATACCCAGTAATTTGTATCATTGTATGCTAATATGATATCAAGACCGGCGCGTGTGTCCGGCGTTGATTAGTACCAAGTGGCGTTCTTAATCTGCAGACTGCACAGTCCACCGCATGATCTCAATCTCGTGCCACCTGTCAACTCAGATGGAAGCCACATGGCCGTACCAATTACTCGGTATTCCAATAGAATTACAGCTGCCGTCACGAACAACTACTAGCGCGGGCAGTGTCAACTCAGTCCGGGAGGATGCCAACGCTAATACTGTATAACCATATCATCGGCCTTGTCCCGCCAGGTCCGAGATGCTACATGCATTGATATTGATGTCTCTACTATAGGTACCAGATACTGTGTAGACTGCAGTACCTAACACTTAGCAGTAAAGTTGCTCAAAGTACCGTACATGGATTAATACCTTGCTTTTCTTTTTTTATACAGTTGAACCGCATTCTGATCGGCTCGCAAGTGGCAACTACAAGTATTTTCTCTGGATAAAGAAGAGCATCGCGGCTCTCTGGTTAAGCTTTGGCTCTAGGGCGCGCCGAAAGAGTTCAGGCTTAACAGCAACGTGCCCACCTAAACCGCTCCAGCTGGGCCCCGGCCTGATGCTAAGGAGCGCCAATAAAGCGCCTCCTACAAGCAGCGCTGCTCACGGAGGAGCTGCTTCTTACGGGAAGATGCAGCGGAACAAGAGGTTGTCGTTGGCCGCCTCGATATATTTCTGCTAAGCCGCAAATGCCGCGCAAGGGCCGGCGGCACCCCAGATCGCCCCCACACTCTGCAGCCAGCTCGTTTGTCGTTGGAGCCGCGGTCCAGGTACTCGACCTCTCTTCCTACTAGTACGATGTAGGTATCTTAAGAACCTCAGCTGTGTCTTCAGCCCTGGCTGCAAAGCTCTGGCACGCGTCCTCAGAGCTGCTGGTAGTAGAGGTCGGCCAAAGAGAAAATTCCCCGATAACCCACCGGGGGGCCCGAGCCGCTCTTTGCCTTCGGGCTTCACCATTGGCTGCCGTTACGGGAGATGCTCGAGGGTCTGGCACCGAGCACATTACGCGTAACCGCAGGTCTGGCCTCTGCAACTGTTTCAACCGCCGAATCATCGACTTTGACCACGCAAGCCACGTTGCTGCGATTCGCTACGCTAGATTGCCAGCTAGTGGCCTGCCAAGCTCGCTCGCCACAGCGCGCGCCGAATCTACTCGCGACGTCTCGGGCGTCAAAGTGGTCGAGTCTAGGTGTAAGTAGCGCCATCTGCGCCATCTGCGCCATCTGTGCCTTCTGCGGTTCGGTAGCTGGCATCGGCTCATGTCTGGTGTTTAGGTTGATTGAGCACGCTGATTGAACGCTGCTGCTACCACTTCAACAACGTGCACTTCTTGATCGCATTCCACTGCCGTTCAACACCCATCACTAGCATCAACTACTAGGCTCAACTGCCGCTTCAGGTCCTCAGCCTTACCGGTAACGGCGTTGCCATTGCCCCGGCCCCTCTCATCCGGGAGCCTCTAGTCTAGCTGTCGTAACTTCACCTCGAGGAGGCGCCTTCTCCTAATCTCTCGCGAGGCTGTCCTCCAAGCCTTGATGCGTTGCGAAACCCTGCCAAGCCAGCGAACCAGGTGGATATCGGGGCCTCCGCCAGCTCCATAGCCTGGCCACACACAATGGCCGGAACGCTGTCCCATATCCTCGATGGCCCTGGCAGCGATCTTCGGCCTCTGTCCGCGCCTGAATCTTTGTCTGGGTCTCTGTCTGGGTCTCAACCTGCACCTGCGCCTGTGCCTGTCTCTGAGACATTTGTGGCGGCAAAGCAACAAACTGTGGGCTCCGATGCTATCGCTACAAGTATAGCAGCGCCGGCGCCATCGAATCCGACGACCCAAAGTCACATCATCATGCAGGCTGTTCCGTCATCCACCACGCCTGGTCCTGCTTCAACAACTTCTCCAGGGACGCGTACTGCTGCTGGCACTACCATTTCTGCTCCAGGTACGACTACCGACCCATTCGCCAGCAGTGTCACCGGCGAAACTCCAGCACCAGCACCCCACCAGAGCCATCAGAACAACAACCCTTATGCTTGCCGCGACTGTGGGCGCTCATACTCGCGGCCAGAGCACCTCGTTAGGCACGTTCAGACGCACACCTTGGGTCGGCGCTTTGCTTGCGAAATCTGCCACAAGTCGTTTGCGCGGAAGGATCTGTTGAGGAGGCATGTTACCAACCATGAGAACGATTCGCCCAAGAAGCGGCAACGACTGGTTTCGACTCCCAACTCTAGCCGCGTCACCCAGGCCTGCCGCCCTTGCGCCGCTGCGCGAGTCAAGTGCGACGAAACTAAGCCGTGCAGACGCTGTGTCAGCCGTAACTTGGCATGTTCTTCTTTCGAGACCAGCCCAGGCTCTTCTACCCATCTTCCTCACCTCTCAGGGAGCGGACAGGATGCCCCTGTACAAAATCAACCGAATAGCGGCTCTTATATAGCATCCGCAGATTCGACTTCTACGTTTCAGAATGCCCCTATGAACTTTATCCGCGATAACACAACCAGCAAGAGTAGCCCTCTATCGCAAACCAACTCATCAAGGCAAGATGATATTAGCCAGTTGACAACTCCGGATACTGGAGTGGAGTCAGGTAAGTCTTGCGATTGGCTCAGGGGAGCAAGCTTTGAGTTCTTCACCACGTTGGGAAGCCAAAGACTGACGGCGTCTGCATCATGTAGGCCATACTCTTAGCCAGGCAGCTCACCCACACAACTCGGCGAAAGCTGGCCCTATGGACTTTAACACCATCCCGTTTTTCAATTTCCTACGCGATGTCCTTTACCAGCAGCCTTTGGATCTGCCGCGGCCAACCGAATCTCAAAGTCCAGCCGTGTTAGATTTTTGCGACAACATGAACATGGATCTTACCGAAATGGACTTTGGCCTCCTCGACCACTGGAATCTAGATCTAGAGGACGGCGGAGCTCTGATAACTCCTGCTTTGGTTGGTCAAAATCCCCAAAACTCGGCTGAAATGTCCTCGATGCGACAGAATCTTGCCAATGTCTGGGGAGATTTGCCGTGGAAATGGGAGCCGACTGCCAAGGATAGTGGCTATACGGAGCAGGGTAACCTGCCCATCTCCGCCAAAGATCTTTCTAATGCGCAGTTTCAGGAAACAAAGAAAAACCTTGAGCGAGTCGTTGATCAAAAGCTGAATCTTTCCAGCCGCGACCAGATCCTGGCCATCATCTTAAAGACTTGTCGCGATCCTTCGACGGCCGGCAGGGTGGCTGCCTCTTTTCCAACAGTGGACGTGATGGATACGATGATGCAAGTTTTCCTAGCCGCCCATCTTCGACAGGTATCGACATGGATACACTTCCCTACCCTTAAGCTTAATTCGCTGTGGCCTGAATGGGTTGGGAATGCTGTGGCTGCTGGTGCTGTGCTGATGCCGGCCCCGACGTTGCGCAAGTTTGGATTTGCCATCCAAGAGGCAGTTCGTAAGTGAAATATATATGAGAATCAACTAAATCCTTGGAAAGGTCATATTCTGACATGAAAATTCGCTAGGCATAACCATTCCTGCAAGAGTAAGATTCAAACAGCCGAACAGCCTATTAACATCCGCCAAAGAATGATGAGCTTACGTCTAACTCACGTTGCAGTTTGAAGAAAATAACACCGCTATCCAAAACCTTAGTTTGGTCCAATCACTCATTTTGGGGCAGGATATTGGTCTATGGAGCGGTAACCGCAGAAAGATGGAGATTGCCGAGTGTCATTTGGTGATCCCTGTGACGGTATGGAGAGGATACCACTTGTACATGATGCATACTTACTGAGTGACTTCAGATGATGAGATATCGACGATTTTTCCAGCGGCACATGTATCCTATAATCACGGTCGATCCCTCAGACGAGGGTGAGCTACTACAACAAAAGTGGATGAAGTGGGCAACTGCGGAGCAATGGAAGAGGTCAGTTTCGGAAAGGTTGTTTCTCTGTTTCCATCGACCTATCACTAACGTTAAGGAGAGAAAAGACTAGCATACCACTGCTACATCCGAGAAGCCCAGTTATCGATGACGGCATTGACAAATCCCTGCATGTCGTATTCTGAGTTGACGCTGCCACTGCCAGAACGGAAGGAATTGTGGTTGGCAAAATCGGCGTCTGAGTGGAAGACACTTTACTTATCGGGGACGGCTGGACAACAAAATTCAAGATTGCCATCAATCGCCGACGCATATCGAGACGTACGCCAGCTTGCTGATAACTCTGCACGGATTGACACGCAACTGTCTGTGTCAATCTTTCTCCACGGCTTTTGGTCAATGATTTTTGAATACTCTCAGCTAAGTGTAGTGCACCAATTTCGGAGCTACACCAAAGAAAAGCCAAACTCTATGCTGAACTCCAGACGCCAAGAGCTCCTAAGAGATCTACAGTCGTTTCAGTTTAGCTGCTCAGATTTATCAGGCGTCACCCCTCAAGAACACATCGTGTTAAACCTTCTCATGATGCACCTTTACGTGTCTCTAGATGACCTACAAATCTTTTCAGGCAAACAGGGAGAAGAAGAAGCCCGTCGCATGTACCCCATTTTGCAACAGTGGACAGCTAATCCCGAGTCATGGTTCGCGGTTTGGTGCGCGGGACAGATCTTGCGGCATGCAAAACTGTTTCCTCTCGGCCAGCTGAAAGATTTCTATGCCATAGCAGTCCATCATGCCGCGCTTGCTCTATGGACCTATGGCGTTGTGGCTCGGGCCAGCCAGCAGCAGGACATGGCATCGCAGTATGGATATGAGCCCATGTACCTGGATGAAGGCAATGCGACATCTATTCAGCATTTCTTGAGCTTTGGGCAGGGGATACCTCTTATACAAGGACCCGCGGCCGGATCAAGCTCGGGAGCAGCACCCGGCGAGGCGTCTGTTTACGACCCTCGTGCGTGCATGGATATTGTGCAAGAGATTTTGCAGACGAATTTTAGAAGGCCCCAGGATGCCTTGCCGCCTCTCGTGGAGAATCTTTGCCAGCTGATTAAACAGCTTGGAAACGCGGCATGGGCGGTTGGCTTGGGGTGAGCATCTCATTCCAAGTTTCTCTCCCATATGAATCCTCCCTACATACATGTACAGACATCATATTACTGATCACTGGACGGAGTTGTGTGTTTTTGATGCGATTATTTAATTTTTTTGATCTGTCCTTGTACTTCTTGCTTGATGACTATTTGGCCAAGGATGGCGCATGGTTATATGATACCCGAGTATGGGGCTGTTAGTGTACGAAAGAGACCAGCGCGCTGTGTTTCGAATGAGGATTGTATCTTACTGATGAGTGGGCGTATATACAACCTGTTGCATATGTAAATGTATAATCGTACATATGCTCTCTATCTATACATAATATTGTTAGGTAGATATGCACAGCTACATTTCATCAAGAAGATCGATCTGAATACCAGGCAATACTAGCTGGTGAGTGTCAGATTGATTGGATACCAGCCAACCAAGTCGGAGAGCCACGTGCGTTTAGATTGTGCTATTATTGTCCTTGGAGCTACCTACTGTATAACAAGCGTCTCCACCAACAGGCTATACTGGAAACGACCAGATGCGTTCCATTGCGCATTTCGTAAGACGAGGCTGAGCCAAGATTGGTCATCGCTACCTACCTCAAGCTCCTGTGCCTCCAACAATACTTTTCGTACTGGCGTCTTATTTTACCTTTGGTCTGATTTAACCTTTTTTGAACTGATTTGCTCTCTTTTGCAGCGTGGAAATCGAGAGGCTGGGCGATAGAGTTTTCGCTTTGGCTCGCTTCCCGCGGCCCGTCCCCCACGTCGCGGCGTTTCTCTTCCTTTTTCATCTACTCGCTCTTGTACAGTCTGAGGAAATATCACAAAAGACTTGCATTTAATTAAATCTTCTACTGTTTAGTCTCTTTTTCTCATCTATCGTGATATCTCTTCTCGTTCTCTTTTATATTCTTACCTTCCCACCGCTTCAGTTATAAACCGCCACACAAGAGAGAATCCACCAGCAACAATAGGCTACGACCCACGGGGCATCTCATCATCGTCATCTTCCACCACTCATACTCACTTCATGTTGAGAAATCCGCTCAGCCTTGTTGATTGACCGCTTCTTCGTCTTTCATCTCCAATCTCACCCTCTTCCGAACCGGGCCATGGATTCCAGCCTCTTCCGCTGGCCGTCGCCCGGGCCGCAAACCGCCGTCGCCGTCACCGTCACGGCCACGGCCGTAGCCACGGCGACGCTGCTGCTGCTCGCCAGATCCGCGCTGCGGCCGCGGTGGGGCAGGGCGCTGCCGAGCCCGCTCAAGACGACGATTCCGAGGCTACCGAGCGACGAGGTCGAGCGTCTGGTCTATCAGCCGGATGCCTTTCCGGGGGCGAGGGACGTTGATACGCCGGTGAGTTTGATTGAGATGAGAAAGACTGAAAGAAGAAGTGCCAAACTAATATCATCCCAGTATGGATCCATCCGCGTCTATGAATTTGGCCCCGAGGACGGCGAAAAGGTCCTGCTCGTCCATGGTATCAGCACTCCCTGTATAACGCTCGCTCTCATCGCCCACGGCCTTGTCAAACGCGGATGTCGAGTAATGCTTTTTGTAAGAATCCTAAACTCTTCCCAAGACGCAAGCAAGTATAACTGCTCCCGTACTGACACCAGCCGTATAGGATCTCTTTGGCCGGGGCTTCTCAGACGGCGTCGGCGATCTCCCTCATGATGAGCGCCTCTACACCACTCAGATCCTCCTCGTGCTCGCCTCAAGCCCTCTGGCCTGGACTGGAAACGACGCCTTCCGCCTCATTGGATACTCCTTGGGCGGAGGTATCGCCGTTCACTTCGCCGCTGCGTTTCCTCACCTTGTCTCGTCGCTTGTTCTGCTCGCCCCCGCGGGCCTCATCAATGCTGCAGACTTTGGCGCCGTGTCATTGTTCATCTTCAAATCTGGCTTCGTGCCGGAGAGGATCCTCGCTTACCTGACTCGAATTCGCCTGCAGCAGCCCATCGCCGCCTCCCGAAAGGCCAAAGAGATCTCGCCGTCCGCAGCTGCTGCAGACATCGCCGCCACAGAGGCTACCAGCGACGGCGAGACGCAGAAAACCGACGGCTCCTCCATCCCCTTTGAGCAGCATGTGCTCATGTACGTCCGATGGATGGCTCTTCACCACACCGGCTTCATCCCAGCGTTTATGTCTTCGATCCGATGGGCGCCCTTGACGGACCAGCATGAGAGCTGGAAGCTGCTTGCGCGCCGGAAGCCGGGCTCGACAATGGTCCTGTTGGCGCAGAATGATGAGATTATCGACGTCAAGGGCTATGAGCGTGAGGGCCTTCCTCTTGTGGGCGGTAAGGAGAATGTGGTTTGGAAGGTTCTTCCTGGCACGCATGACTTTGTCATGACGCATTCGGAGAGGATCCTCAAGGAGATGGATGAGTTGTGGAACTAGATACGCTGCTGGACGCGGCAGACTTGAATACTGATATTTAACTTTCGGTTTGAAAAAAAAAAAAAAAAAACACCAACAATTTATAAATTTAGCGGGAGAGCGGCCATATATCAGGCTTAGAGAAGAGAATCTTTTATGTCTATTTGTTGGTTGGAGTTGCGTTACTAGATCTTTCCTTATACTGATGTAGTTGAATTTATAGATCCAAGGATTAAAACAAATTTATATGCCGTGCAAAAAAATACTCCATAAAACATAACAAAGCGCCGCTTATTGCGCCCCAGATGAGATTGTCAGTGATTGATGCGTTAATAGTTTCATAAGCCGAATTGTGTTCTACCACGTAGGAGTTTACCTGTCCAAAGCTTGACTTTGACACTATTTTCACCGCATGCGTTAGCGACAATTTACAAAGAGTTAAAGGACATGTTTCACAGAAGAGAAAAAAAACTCACCATATTCCAGTAAACTCCCTTCTTCTTCAACAGCTCCATATGACTACCCTGCTCAAGAAGCTGGCCCTCGCCCAGCACAAAAATGACATCTGCATTCTGCACCGTCGCTAGCCGATGAGCAACCACAACCATGGTCCGCCCCTTGCTGGCGCGCTCAAACGCCGCCTGCACGAGCTTCTCGCTCTCCGAGTCGAGTGAGCTTGTGGCCTCGTCCAGGAGCAGGATGTTTGGCTTGCGGATCAGGGCGCGAGCAATCGCAACACGCTGCTTTTGGCCTCCCGAGAGGGAAACGCCGCGGGAGCCAATGTTTGTGTTGTAGCCTTCGGGGAGAGAGACGATGAAGTCGTGGATGGAGGCGTCGCGACAGGCTTGGTGGATTTGTTCGTCGGTGACGGTGGCATCGTCGACGCCGAGGATGATGTTGTCTCTGAGAGTGCCTAGCGTGGTGAATGGAAGTTAGCTTTACATATACTGGGTATGAAAATTTTCTGGTAGAGATGTCGAAAACTAACCTTGGAATAGGGTTGGCTCTTGTGCTACGAGTGATAGGTACTTGCGATAATCAAAGACGTTGACATCGGCGATATCTTGGCCGTTGCATAGAATGCGGCCCTTATCGACATCGTAGAACCTAATCGTTTCGAACTATTAGTGGCTCAGAAAGAAATATCAAGCTGCCATTCAGACTAACCGTTCAAGAAGTGAAATGATGCTCGTCTTGCCACACCCAGACGATCCCACCAGAGCCGCAAACTGGCCCTTTTCAATCGTCAAGTTCAACCCGCGGAAGACTGGCATGTCTCGAGTCGGATACTTGAAATGCACATCCTTTAGCTCAATCTTCACGCCTCCTTCCACGTCCGGAATCTCCTTTCCTCCAGAGCTCTTGTCTCGGAACATTGTCTCTCTCGTGTTCAAGATGCGGTTCGAAGCTTCCGTTACTTGTGCCGCGTTAGGGCCAAAGCCGAAACTCTGACCGGCAGACTGCGAGGCGTTCATGATGGCCATGAAGCAGACAAAGTAATTTTCAGGTTTATATTCGCCGCTCGCCAGAAGGCGGCTTCCGTAGTAGAAGATGAGCGCTTGGCAGGCCAATGTGCAGCTGTCGGCGAATCCAAAGAGAAAGCTGGCGAAGCGGGCTTTTTTGAACGCCGTCTTAACGTGGCCATCACATAGTGTTTTGAAACGGTCCGTGATGGGAGTTTCCAGAGTAAGCGACGTAACGGTTCGAAAAGCACCAATCGACTCGGACGCAAACTTGGAGCTTTCGGCAAAGACTTCATTGTTCATCTTTTCAAATTGCAATTCATACCTGAAGCGCCAGTACGACGAGGCGAGAAGAATTGGCATGACGACAGCGACGCCGACCAAGGCCAATTTCCAGCCAAAGTAAAAAGAGATGATGATTGATCCAGTGAGGTTGAAAAGTGCAATGTAGACGCTGGCCATGTTTGCACCCATGAGCTCCTCCAGCCGCTGGGGATCTCCTGCGGCACGAGCCGTCATGGTGCCGTGAGAGTGGTCCTCGTGATCAAAATAAGAAGTCTTTTGGTAAAGGATGGCCTCAAAATACTGCTGCTGATACTTGGCTCGAATGATTGACGCCATTCGAGTAGAAGCAAAAAACGCTCCAAAGTAAGAGATTCCAACACCGACAGCCAGCACAAACCACATCAGAGACCAAAAACGGCTTTCATGAAGCAGCTTTTGACCAGTAAATTCGAATACCACAATGAGTTTTGCAAAGAGCCAGGCTTGCAGCGGAGTTGCCGCACCGGCACAGGCGGTGAAGATTAATGTTATAAACATCAGGTACCAGTAGGTATTAGTCTCATAGAAGAGGCGGCCAAAACTGCTGAAAATGTTGCGCTCTTTTTCGGTGCTGCTGCTATCAGTTTGAGCTGTGGTTTCTTCAAGAGCCTGGCTCTTCTCGCGAGTCAGATTATCCTCGCTATCCGTCGGGTCATCGCTTTCTTCGGCCGTTGATGCATTTCCCAGTGAGAGTGCCTGGGCTTGGACGAGACCAGCATAGACACCGCCTTTCAGAGCAATGAGGCTCTCGTGGTTACCCTGTTCTGCAACTTTTCCCTTCTTGATAACAATGATTCGATCGGCCTTCTTGATAGTGGACAGACGATGGGCTATCGTGATTGTCGTCCGATTCTGTGCCACGCGGTCAAGAGCAGCCTGGACAATGCGTTCTCCTCGAACATCGATCGCACTCGTCGCTTCGTCTAGAATAAGAATCTTCGGCTTTCGAACGATGGATCGAGCAATGGCGATACGTTGACGCTGGCCGCCAGAGAGTTTAGCACCACTGTCGCCAACTAAGGTGTCGTAGCCCTACAACATGGGGTATCCAAATATTAGCACAGTGGTCGGAAAGAGAGAAAATGCCACGGAAACAAGAAAGACGAGTAACGAAGGATCCGTGAGCAACTAACCTGTGGAAGCTTGTCAACAAATTCATCGACAAATGCTTCAATGCACGCTTCCTTGACCAATTTCCTCTTTACTTCTTCCGGCTCGTTTTCCCATTGCGTACCAATTAAACCATTCGCCACGTTTTTGAATATCGAATCGTTGAATAGAAAGGGCTCCTGCTGGACCAGTCCAATCTGAGATCTCCACCACTTTAGATGGATGTCATCCAGAGCATGGCCGCAAGTTGTAAGTTTACCGCTGAGCTTCACTGGTGGGCCGGTGTCTTCCTCTTTCGGGGCCTCAAGCTCTTCCTCAGCCTCACCCGCCTTCTTCTTCTGCTTCTTCTTCTTCTTCTTTTCCGGTTCCACGGCCTCTTCGATAACGTATTGGTGCTTGAGCGAATACCATCTTTCTATCAATCCGACAACGGTACTCTTTCCTGATCCCGATGGACCGACAATAGCGTTAATCTTGCCTGCCTCGATGCGGAGATCCAGCTCGTCTAGAATCCTGACATGAGGACGGCTTGGGTAAGCAAAGGTGACTTTTTCAAATACAATGTCGTCTGTGGCAGAGACCTCAGGATCCGTAAGATGACCCTTCTCTGGCTGGGGTGCGTCTATAACGGTGAAAAACTGGCAGGCTGCAACGGTAGCTTTGCTAACAGCCAACATGGGGGTAGTAGTGCGTTCCAGCGAGAAAACAACATTCATCACAGACATTAAAACACTTTACAAATTAGTACCAGGTCAAAAGTCATCTCAAGAGGGAAAACTCACATGACAATTGTCCCAACGTTATCAGCATGCCCCTCAGCTATCTCCTTAGTTCCATACCAGAATGCCAGGGCAAACGCCGAGAATACGCTGAAGAACTGTACCACTGTTAAAGACGCTCTTTTGTCTATACAAGGAAGAGTATGTTTTACTTACAATCAATCCAAACTGCAGAGAAAGGAATGGAGATGTGTGCTGAGCATGCATCTTGGCTTCTTCGACAGATAGTCCATACTTTTTCGCCATACGACTCTCTGCGCCGCACGCCGAAATCATGCGAATACTAGCAAAGGTCTCGCTCGCAACGGCAGAGGATTTCGCTTCGGCCTAGCAAAGATATGAGTTTCGATTTTGACAGCTGTACTCCCATAAATGAGCATTGCTTACCTGTGATACTCGTCCATGACCTTTGACAATGATAGGCATCAATACAGAGACAGAGAGTCCAATGAAGAGAATGGTCGAGGACGTAACCAGCGTGAGGGCCCAGTTTCGGGTAAACGCAATGATGATCGAAGCAACAATTGTTGCGTTGTACTCAAAAAAGACACCGAGCTTTTCCGAAATGCCAAGCTGAAGAACGTTGCTCGTCGAGGTGATTGTTGTTGTCGCGTAGCCCGGCGGCATCGAGTCCAGAACATGGATGCTCTGGCCAAGTAGTGCTGTCAGGTAGTGCAATCGAATCGCCGAAGATATCCTAATTCCGATCATTCGAAAGGCAAACTATCGCACAGCAAATATCTCTTAGCAGCCAAATTTTTCATATAGGGCAGGCATAATGTGGATGAAGATGCCATGGGGCCTAAACAGTGACAGGGTTTTTCGCACCTTGTTGATATAGTTGAGTCCCAATCGGCCGAGAAAGAGAGCAAACATGTATAAACTGGTGATACGCCTAAGCAATTTGATAGAAGATAAACATCAAGAGTAGTAGTTACTGACGACAACCTGTTTGCTTTTCGGCGAAAAGCATCCTCGCTTTGGTTGGAGGGATCGGTAAAGTCGCTTATGCTGCCGACGAAATTACCTGGAACAAGATCGTAAACTTTATGCACAATACGGCCACATGGAATGCCAGAATTGGGAGTAAGAAGAAGCAAAGTATAAAAGACATACCAAATACTACGTTCATCAACGGCAAGGTGATTCCGGCACCAATGGAAGCCAAGATGCCCGCCGCGTACGCAAAATAGTCCCATTTCGTCGCATATTGGAAAACTCGCTGAGTAGCATCAATGCTGATTAGCACTTTCGGGGTCCATCATTTTGTCTTTTTGGTATATTTATATCGAAAAACACACCAAGTAATCCTTGAATGATGCTAATCTCTGAGGCCGAGCCTTTGGCTGCTCTTGCGCTGGCTCAGAAGCGGTGCCATCGTCAACAGAGGCCGATGCCTTGTCGTCCACAGGATAGCTCGACAGCTCGACGTCGGTCTCTTTCATCTCGAAGTGGTGAAAGACCCAAATCCAATACTGATGAAAATCAAGTACCGGACCTTACGCGAGAATTAAACAAGACGAAGTTGATGGAGGCGAGCCGGAGCGCAGCTGAGGGTGTGCGCCGCAATGCATAAGTAGGTACAAGTACAAATGCGTGGTTGGTCGGTTGTCGTCATGAACCGATACATACGACTTCCTAGGTCGGTCTAGTCCCCCAGCGCGACTCCGGAAACTCACCGCGAGTTTAAGCCCCTGAAGCCCTTTTTTTGGGATACGGAAAATTAATTAGAGCTGGGCGGGCTTCGAAGCGTGGAAGCGATCAATACGCGGGAACTGCAGACGGCGAATCGCAGTGGATACTGATTCTGAGGTAGGGCGGCAGTGGCATATTGGAGAGCTAAAAGAGAGCATTGAGGCAGCCGATCGAACTGTTAGTGAGTTTTTGTGGCGTGAAACGGGCTATTGGCAGCATCTGCTTGAAGCCCCTGCTTGGATGCCTAAGAACGAATCCATCAGTCATTAAAGTCGCAATGCTAATGCTTCTAGGCCTGCTGTGCCCCATCAATCAGCAGATGAAGGACAAAATAGAACTCCAGTCATTTCTCTAAGGACTCTTTCCTCGTCTATCTATTACATGCAGTTATGTTTGGAGTAGGTATTCATGTCCGCTGGCGCCAGATCATAGGTACCTGGCAATATTCTACTCGGTGATATAAACTCGCCTGTAAGTACTCCGATACTGAGCCTCGATAAATCTTTGACGACACTGGCACCTTAATTTCCCACAATAGCACAGCCTACAAGTTAGCTCGTTGCGATCTGGCTTCAACTGCGTATTCCCAAGAACATTTCGGTGCATCTCGAAGCGGTCCGACTAGGTACCATCAACATGAAACCTTCACTCGGGATTACCTCGAATCCCGTTATTAGCACGCAGGTAATGCTGGGGTTGGCCAATCATGGCGCAGCCGCTACGTGTAAAGCCTTCTGCCAGTTATATGCGAGCAATTGTAATGGGCATCAGATTTGGCCTTGTTCTGGAACAATCGCGCTAGGGCCAGGTGGCGCCGTATTGTTCGGTTTGCAAGGATCAATGACAATATCATCGCTAGCACGGAGTATGGAATGCTAGTAGCTGAATTGAAAATGTACAGCTGCAGTTGACAGGTCAAAGCAAGAGGCGTCGTGTCTGCTTCGATAGTGACATCGTTTGATCTGGCTTTTGGCTCTGCCGGGGAGTTGATATAGCCCGAAAAGCCGTTCTGCAAATGGAGCATTTCCGGCACATGGCGGTCCGCCACGCGAGAGGCAACGGTGCCCCGATTAACTGTAACTGCATGTCTCGCCTCCTATGGGCGGCACCTTAACCCAATCTGAAAAGCTTAGATGGCCTGATGTCAACCATCAGCGTGAAAGAGGACACTTGTGCTTCTGCGCTTCGCATTGTGAGTCACGCATCAGCCATGCACTCGTCATGCTTTTTGAAGCGAATGCACACTACGGCCCCTCGTGGGGAAATCCGGGGTTGTTTATCATCAGTGCGTTGCGTAGCCTCAGTCAAAGTGGCGATCAAAAAGGCGACAGCTCTGGTTTCCATCATTGGATGGTTCTTCCCTAATCCGATTTTACTACTACCCTGAATAGGTCACTGAATGGAGTACAGGACGTCTGCCAATACGAACCCTTAAAGCTGCACTCGGGTTGGCCCATTTTCGCTGCGCGACTGCGCACTCGTAAAGTATGACTTACATGATAAATAGTAGGTCAAGATGGATGCAGAGTGCAGACCTGGCATATCAACGATGCTTAATGCGACCAAAGTATCTTGATCACTTGTTCCGTTGTTCTACTCGGCTGCTTGAACGTATATAAACCTGCGTTCCACCAATAGAGATCCATGGAATTTGAACTAAATGCATCCGATGCACTACAAAACACCGCAAGCATCGCACGATGCATTTTATTCAACCTGCATCAGACGTCTCTCTCGCTGGGGCCGAGTTCTACTGATATGTACGTATAAGTGATTGAGTTCATCCCTTATCGATAAACAAAAATTCTGCCCCGCCTGTCGAGGCACCCAAAATTGGCGGGGCTGACTTTTGCGTGACCCATACAAACAGCGCCGATGACTCCTGCCACAACTTCAAGCCTATTTTTTCCCCTCCACCCCTCGGATGAAGATAGTTTTGGCTGCATTTAGGTCTGTTCGACCATATCGGCCATTGTCGCAATTGCAAAGACTTCGTCTTGCGACTCGTCTTCCACGTACCGCATCTTCGTTCCACTCACAGGCGCCAACCGTCGACATGGCTCCCAAAACCAAGTTCGAGCTAAAAACTGCCAAGGGCACAAAAGATTGTAAGTTGTGATTCTTGAGTCACGAGCAAAAACTCGAAGCTTACTCACCCCACGGGAGTGGCAAGGACATGGTCATTCGAGACAAGATCTTCAGCACCATCACCGAAGTCTTCAAGCGCCACGGCGGAGTCACCATCGACACACCTGTATTCGAGCTGAAGGAGATCCTCTCTGGCAAATATGGCGAGGATAGCAAGCTCATCTATGACCTTGCCGACCAAGGCGGCGAGCTTACCTCGCTGAGATACGACCTCACGGTCCCATTTGCTCGTTTCCTGGCCATGAACAAGGACATTCAGAACATCAAGCGCTACCACATCGCCAAGGTCTATCGCCGAGACCAGCCCGCCATGACCAAGGGTAGAATGCGAGAGTTTTATCAGTGCGATTTCGATATTGCTGGCACCTACGACTCCATGCTGCCCGACGCCGAGGTCATCCGAATCATCACCGAAGTCTTTGAAGGCCTAGGATGGAACGGCGCATATACTATCAAGCTCAACCACCGCAAGATCCTGGATGGCATCTTCCAGGTCTGTGGAGTCCCTGAGGACAAGATTAGAACAATCTCCTCTGCAGTTGACAAGCTTGACAAGCTGCCATGGGCGGATGTCCGAAAAGAGATGACCGAAGAGAAGGGTCTGGATGGGGAGATTGCAGACCGTATCGGAGAGTGGGTTGTTTTGAGAGGACGCCACGAGCTGCTCGAGAAGCTCCGCAACGATGAGAAGCTTTCAGCAAACGAATCCATGAAGCAAGGTATTGCGGATGTTGCTCTCCTTTTCGAGTATCTCGAGGCCTTTGGCGCGCTTGACAAGGTTTCATTTGATCTTGGCCTGGCTCGTGGCTTGGACTACTACACTGGCCTCATTTACGAAGTCGTCACCGAAGGCTCTGCTCCTGAGGCAACACCAGGATCAGAAGCCGCGGCCGCAAAGCCATCCAAGAAGAAGTCAAAGAGCAACGGTGAGGACGACGATCGGTCTGATGATCCCACCATCGGTGTTGGAAGCGTGGCTGCCGGCGGTCGATATGACAACCTGGTCGGCATGTTTTCCGGAAAGAATCAGATCCCTTGCGTTGGTATTTCATTTGGTGTCGATCGCATCTTCTCCATCACCAAGGCCCGCATGGCCGCCGACAAGTCCGCCGAGCAAGTGCGTGGCAATGAGGTCGATGTCTACGTCATGGCCCTCGGTGGAAAGGGACTAGTCAAGGAGCGCTTAGAGATTTGCGCAAAATTGTGGCAGGCTGGCATCAAGGTAAGGCATTTTGTTCTCATGGAATTGCACTTCCTATAAGCTAGTAGTGACTATTACTAACGTGCAATCTGCAGGCCGAGTTTCTGTACAAGGCAAAGCCCAAGATGCAGGCTCAGTTTAAAGCTGCCGAAGCCAACGGCGTGCCATTTGCCATCTTTATCGGCGAAGACGAGTTGGCTCAAGGCAAGATCAAGGTCAAGGAGATGGGCTTGAAGGATGGACACCCCGAAAAGGACGGAGTCCTGGTGGACACATCACGCATGGCGGAAGATTTGAAGTACCGCATTCAACGCAAGAGAGAACTAGAGAGTATCACGATACAAGCCGAGGGTCTGAAGGTGGTGGATGGCATCAAGGGTAACCAGGCAGCCAAGAAGGAGGCTGAGGCCAAGGCAGAGGAACCCAAGGCGGAGGAACCCAAGGCGGAGGAACCCAAGGCAGAGGAAGCCCCAGCAGCCTCAGCGGCAGATGCGACGACTGAGACCCCAGCTTCATAGAGGAACCTGACCGAATTGAAAAAAAGTTGAACGCTACGATATGTTGCAATCGAGCAGCATTTTATTCATTGGTGAAATGGAGAGCAAAGGTAGCCAGCATGGAGTCAGCCCTGAAGTGGAATCCGACAGCAAGTCGGCCGCAAAAGTCGGTTTTTAGCCAGAACGGCAAAGAGAGTTGGCCGTTTGGGGGCTTATGTGCTTGGCGATATGCCTGTTGGGCCCCTACATAGCCGAGTGTTAGCCACTGAGTTGGTGTTTTATGTATTTGAAATAACGATATGAGTAATTTTTTTTTTATGTACCTTCGTATGATGATAAATCCGGGTTTTCGTATAGGTGATGTGTGCTAGTTAACAGGGAGGGAAAAGTAATTACACGCTTGAATCCGTACGCCCTCTGATAGTTCTCATCCATCGTCTGTTAGCTGCAGTTGGCTCTTGACCGTCCTTGCTGGCTAGATATGTATGATGTCGGAGATATGGTTACCCGGTGAGCTATAGCTGTTAGTAGATATAAGTTGATCTGTGATTAGTTGGTGTAAGGAGAGCCAACATCACATATCACAAGAGATACTAGTAGTGTATCGGAGTCATGAACAACGCTATCTTTCAGTGTGGACGCACAAGTGCTTTGATGATAATAGTTGTTCTTATGCACAGTATGTATTACTCTTACAAAATCTCATGCGTGATCGACGCAGTCTGCATAACGCACATGCAGCATAGAGGGTCGCTGTAGGTTGGATGACGCATACCAGGTACCCAGCTTTCGGAGCGCAGCATCCTTGACTCAATTAAAACCCTACTCTGTACCAGGATCGAGGAGCGTCAGATTGAATTAATCAATCTTGGGTGTCATGATCACAATGCCTGCTTTGTTACAAATATAGTCATTGGATGTTGCATTTATCACTTATTAATCTGGTACCACGTATGGAGTAAAGACCTTGGAGTTACCTGCAGCTACGATGTATCAAGATGAGCCGTTGATATTGATGGCGCCAACACCACTAGCATAGATAACAGAGTGGAGGTTTTACGGAGCCTTATTGGTCTACCGTTCCGAAGTTGATGAGGCTCATGTTAGTGACAGGCTGGACTACGGGAAGATGAAAATATTGAGAGGCACTGCCGCTTTGTGCTTCGTTGTACAGAGTACGGAAAGTACCGTCACAGTAACGAAAATTCGTTTGAAGACACACTCTTTTCGGACATCTGTGGCTAATAGGAGGTGAATACGAGCCGCAATTCCAAGGTGTATGATGACAAAAACAAGAAAAACAAAGAAAAAAAACAAGATAAACAAGAAAAAGAAAAGAAAATAGCAGAAGCACGGACTGCAACGCCTCAAAAGGAGACGAGAGTATAATCACTAGAGTAGACGAGCGAACGGTCAGCGAACGGACGTGTCGTAACACCCTAAAGCGAGACAAAATGCAAAGACGAAAAAAAAAAATCTGTTTTGCTTTTTGGGGTCTTGTCTTGGTTCGCTGCAGGAGAGTGGCTCCCGGTGACTCTTGGATGCAGGTGAGAGTTTCTTGTTTCGGTGTTTTTTTTCTTCTTCCTTTTTCTCCCTGTTTTTCTTTCTTGATTTTTGACGTCGGGAAGATAAGCAGCAGTAATTAAACAGCTGGCTAGCGTTCAAATAACGAAATGCTCTGGCATGTTGTTGGATCCCGGTATCTGGGTTGGATTCCATGCAGAAGTAGGTTATAAGACGAGGAGGCTGACAAGCTTGACTGGGTTACCTGAAGAGAATATTCAGAAGCAACAAATCAAAAAGACAGGCTGATTCATAGAGTAGCAACGTGCATATGGATGCTGCAACGTGCATTTTCAATAATAAAAAAACAACGCGAGACGCGGTAACAGGTTCTGCGACTCAAGGAGGATTTGGTTTCGCGTCAATGCAGGCGGCTGGGATGGTACCTGCCTTGGCGATGCACCGGCTTTAGCAGATGCGGGTGGCGCATATGGGGAAAGAGCGACAGGTGCCAGGTACGGGGGCTCCACTCGCCCGTCGTTCCTGCACTCACATCACAGCTCACTTGCAGCGAGGTAAAGTGCACTGACAACCTCCTTCCGACATGTTGCGTTTGTCACGGGACGCACACTGGGATCACTCGGCGTCGTCCCCAGTACCGGGCAATCTTACCTCGTCCTGGTGCTACCTCGGGCTGCCATATTTCGCTGCTCATTTGCCCATCCGGACGGTGGCTCGCAGGCAACAAACAGGGCCTTGCCGCCTGTGCAGGCCCGCGGCCCTGGTCCCCAATTTCACAATCTCGTCTTCGTGCCTGGGAGCGCCGCTATTCGCAAGGCAGGGAGGCCGGGGAAGCGGGATCCAGGGGGCAAGGCCTGCAAACGCCAGCGTCGCATCCCGGCCAGCGCCACTCTTTTGCGGTAGCCGTACCGGTTGGCCGCTGAGTGACAGCAGGGTCTAAGTTGAGGGCGAAAGGGGGATTGGGGCCAGGGGCGCCGGCTGCCAACGTTATACTACAGTAGCAGCAGTAGCAGCAGCAGCAGCACCGTATTGTTGGAAGCGGGTTTTCTCCAGTCTCCCGGGACGCCTCGATGCGACGTCGTTGGAGGGCTGTCCCTAGCAAGGAGCCGAAACACAACAGCGCCGCCGCAGGAAAGGCACAACACCGGCTCGCTAACAGCAGGGGATGCGGCCGGCGCACCAATCACACGAAGCAACGCGAACACTGAGATGAGAGAGATCCAGGAAGAGGACCAGGAAGGCCAAGGCTCTTCCCCGAGGTGGCGGGCCAAGTCAAACCCCTCTGTGAGCGGCGGGTCCCCGGGATGCCGGTAGACGTCTGTGTTGCGTCTGTCAGTCTTAGACACACGCACGAGCGTTTTTGCTTTTTCCTCTCTCTTTTCCTTTTTTTTCCTCCCGTGCCTCGCGTACTCGACTTTTGTCGCCGTTTTCACTCTCATTGTACTTCGTACAAGCCGGTCCTTAAAAAGCTCAACTCGCAGTCTCTCCCTCCCTTGGCTGGACGGTTTTTGAAATCGTACTTCTACCAGCTTCTCCATCCTTATTATTGTCTTGCACCCTGCCACTCACTCCTCCCTTTCCCTGCCTTTCGTTAGTTTTCCGGGTATACCTATCATCTTCTCTTTCGTTCTACGGCTTGACTTCAGACAAGTAGTTTCATTTCTTTACGTGAATAATATACGTTGCATACTACTCTTCGTCTCCAAGCCTTTATTCGTCGCTGCCACTCTCTTGCTCTCACACTTGCTCAACATTCTCTAATACCTATATCTGTGTCCAACATATACATACATCCCTGTTCCTTTGCAATTTCCTTTTTTTGAATACGCTACTACGACACTACATAGTCAAATCTTGTTTCCAGTCTTCTACACACTCTCTTATCTGATCAAAATCGACTCCATCACCTCTTTTTTCTAACAGTCGGACACCATTCATTCATCGACTCACAAATTCTTTTTCAACATGCCGGGCCTGATACCCCTTCGCATGAGCGCGCTCATTCCGGCATCAAAAATCGCAGCCTCCTACTCAGAAGACAAATCCAATGCCACAAGTTGGGAGCCCACGCCGTACAAGCCAAGAACAGCTGAGATGCAGTTCAGGCAAGCCACGCGCGAGCGCATGATTCCCGAGCCTCTCATTACATCTAGACCAGCTCCTTCTACGCCTTCTCAATGGAAAAGGGCGTTGGCTGAGATTAAAAGAGACTTTGCCAACCGAAAATACCGACACTGCTCTATGCGGTGTCAAGAGATTCTCGACACCATGAAGGATTCGGTAAGATATACTCTACGCAACGATGCGTCTTGCTACTCTTATTAACATGGTATTTCCCAGCACAAACCAGAGACAGCATGCCTGATATACATCCGTTTCTACGCCGCATCTGCTCTTGAAATGCAAGTCCGTTCTCTTCATCACACCTCTCCTTACCGGATGAAGCTCCTCCTCCAAGCCCGCGACCACTACCGCGCCGCATCTGATCTCGCCAAAGAAGACGATGCTACTAAGCGGCGGCCCTCTTCTCGATCACGACACACTCCTTTTGGATCGGACGCATCATTCTCTACACTCTCCTCCGGAAGCTCTGCTTCACTCTCGATCAGCTCTTTGGACAGCTGTTTGAAGAGCCCCGGTAGCCGGCCGAAGCAAAAGAAGCGCGTCGCGTTCTGTGACGTGCCCTCGTATGAACCTTTGCACGAGTCTACCTTTGAGCCTTTTATTCGCCCAGACTCTCCAACCCTCGGCTTTGACGACGACTGGTGCATCCGTCAACCTACTCCTGAGCCTCCAGCTCTCTACTCGGCTCCCCTCCGACCCAGCTCTGGAAAGTCGCAGTTTCCACTCCCTTCTCCCACAAATTCAGAATTCAGCTCTATCCAGGGCGATGATGACAGTTACTTCGATACTCCCACCGCTGCAGACAGCTTCCTCCATGCCCGTTCCGTCCACCACTATTGCACTGTACTTGCCAGCCTGCAGCACCAAATCACCTCTCACCTGGAATGGTTAGAGCGTGATCTTGCCGCCGCAGAGAATCCCCAGCCTCCGCAAATCCTTAGCGAGGAAATGCGTAACCTGGAACTGCGTACGCGGATTGAGCGGCTGAAGGCCAATGGCTGGAAGCGACAGCGCTTTGATTTCCGAAAATACGAGGCACTTCGAGAGAGGGCCTTGGAGGATATCAATTAGGGGTTGATGGATGTGGTAAACACAAAAAAGTAAAACTGAAATTGAAAAAATATTACTGTTTTATTGCTGTTAGTGGCTAGACTTTGGAGTTTGCATTGCTTGATTGGATTCTCTGGCATCGATAGATGGTGGTCATGGGTTGCATAGGTATGCTTGCTATGAAGGCGCTCGTTGGGAAAAATACATAGATTTCCAGATTGGGTAGGATAGAAAAGGGACAAAAGATGCCCTCAAAAGCTATGTTTTTTGCTTGAACTGCACCATTTTTCCTTTGCTCGGTTTGAAATGGGCCAAATCGCCATGTTCAAGATTGCCATCCACGTCTTATCTCAGAATACGTTGCTTATAACCAATGTCGCGAAAACAGAGAAAATTATATTTCAGAAAACCAAAAAAGCTGGTAAAGCAAGAGACCAAAAAAAGTGTATCCCAAAAAAAGTCCTCATAACCAGTCCTTCTCTTTCGAGACGCGAGCGCTTTAAGAAGCCTCGCTAAAGCTACGCCGCTTCGCTTCCTTTCCCATCTCTTCCTCAATCTGCAGCGTCTCCTGTTTCTGCTTGACATCCTTGAGCGCAAAGAGACCCAGGGCATGCAATCGAGCGCCATCTCCCCTTTCTTGGCCACCTTGCACGTCTCCCATTTCCGAGTTCTCGGGGTCTTCTTCGTGTTCTCTGAGCTTGTTGATCCTGTTTTGGAGCTTGACGATTTCGATGGCGCGGCGGAGGCGGGAGCGTCTGCGGAAGGCCTCGATTTCTGGTAGCAAGTTGTGGTCGCTGGCGGTCTGGCCGCTGAGCCAGATGTGGCCCAAAGCTTGCTGCAGGTTTGTTAGTTCATGTCTATGCCTGAAGTGCTAAAGGATCGTACCTCGCTGGTCCATCTCTGTTCAGGCTCTGGGACTAGGAGACGGTTGATAAAGTCCTTTGCATCAGCGCTGACGTCCTTCCAGTATCTCTCGTGGAACACGACGTTGCCCCTTGTGCACTCATCAAGAAGATCCTGCAGGTTCTCGCTTCGGAAGGGGGAGTAGCCGCAAAGCAGGGTATAGGTGATGACACCCATAGACCACATGTCTACAGGCTTTCCGTGGCCCTTCTTGGCCATCACTTCAGGGGCCGCATAGCCAAAAGATCCAGCCATAGTCTTGAGTGTTTCGTCCTTGCTGTCCAACGTCTTGGCAATACCAAAATCGGCCAACACGAGGTCGGAGTCGTCTTCGGCAGTAACATAGATGAGGTTCTCCGGCTTGAGATCTGTAACTTCACGTTAGACTCGATTCGAATACTTGACCAAATATCAGCTTTCAGGGAAACCCGCATACCTCTGTGGACAACGTCGTTCTTGTGCAGATAGTCAACGGCGTCAAGAACCTGCTTGATAGTTTGCGAAGCATCCTTCTCGGTGAACTTGCCCCTGTCGCAAATACGATCGAAAAGCTCTCCTCCTGTGGCCAACTGAGTGACAATGTAGAACTTGTCCTGTGGCGCATGGTCAGCCAAGCTCGTAAGTACCCCATGCCTTCTTCTCTCCGGTTTATCAAGTATCAACGTACTCTGGACTCGAACCAATCGACAAACTTGACAATGTGAGGATGCTTCAGTCGTTGCAGCATGGAAAGCTCGTCGTAGACCATCTGCTCGTTACCCTTGACGTTCTTCTTCAGGATGATCTTGACGGCAACCTTGCCAGTAGGGCCGTCTGCCTCACGAACGACTCCATAGGTACCAGCACCGAGGGTGCGTCCGAACTTATACTTTGATCTGTTTCAAGAGTTCGAATCGTTAATGCTGAGTTCAATGTCGGTAGTCTCTCAGGTTATGCATCGTACTTTTTCTCATAGCTCTCGGGTTGCCCATGGAGGCGATTGAGCATGTTGGCGACTATGACCAGGGAGAGCACCGGTTAGCGACCAGCATATGACTGTAGGGGATCCCAAGCATTATTGAATAACAGGGAAGGGATAAAACAGAAGAAAAGTATCTGATAGCCTCGCAGATAGGACTGCTACCATCTTCGTCCATAAGCATACAGCAGTGTAAGAGAAATGCGACTTACAACTCATATTGATGTCTGGCGGGGTATTTTGGACGCGAGAAGCGGTATTCAAGCCAAGCTGCGGTTCAGAGCGATACAAGCACACGCAGCCCAGAGCTCGCAAAGGTCACGTAGGAAAGGGAGTCGCACGATAATTAAACGTTGCGAAGAAAGCGGCGAGAGGGAGCCCAAGAGGAAATAAAGAAGGAAAGGAGAAGAGAGACGAGGCGCCACAAAAGTCCAGGACGACAAGAGCCAGAAGCTGAAGGAGCTACAGCGACGGCTGAGATTAAATACGACCCGAGTAAAATATCAGCCCCTCATCAGGCCTGGCGGTTTCCCGCCGTCAGCCAAAGGGGCACTAGCACCACAGCCATACGGCATAGTGGGGATGGCGCCAGGAGAGAGGGAGTCTGTCGCCGCCAAGGTACAACGAGCACTGTAGATCAACTGACAGCACCCTGCCTTACTGTCCTGTACCTGTAGCTGAATACCTAGCAGGTACTAGCACCTTTCACTCTGGACTAAGAGTATCAGTTAGATAGCAAGGTAGCTTAGGCATTTCATTCCTAAAAGCTCATTAACATCATCCCGATTGCAGCTTCAACCGCAGGGGAGACAATAGTATTCTCCCGGATGCTTGTACGCGTGTTGTACAAGCACATGTGAAATTATTTTAACCAATTCTTGGGCAAGGAAAGGCCCCCACGCAGCAGAGAATAGGTAGGTGTCAACAGCCCTGCCTTGGAATCGCAGCTATGTCGGCATTTCCAGCCAGCGTCGGGGCGCCTTCGTGGCTGTGCCCGCGCAAGGTCTCCATCTGCTCTGGTCCGGCCAACGAGAGATGATTCACCATCGACAATGTCTAACACAGCACAGAAAGAGGCACGAATTAGACGGCAGATGCTAAGACGTCACAACGGCTGGGCTGTGGCTCAGCGACTGGACGGCAAAAACTGCCATACAGACAGCCCAAGTTTGATACGGATGCGCCCTCGCTTGGGTTTTTGGGATACCACCACCTACCAAAGCAGGCCGACATGTATGTCGAGGCTGTCGTCTTAGGCGGCCTCCGTTGCCTTTCCGAGATGTAATGTGCGATATGCCAAGACAGCTGCCGAAGCACCGTGACGGCTTTTTGCAAGGCTGATTAGGGCTGCTTATTCGCCGCATCAGACTTCAAGTGTGTGATGATCCCTGGCGAGCGGCCTCTCGCAGTGGGTCGTGGGTGTTGGTTCTCAGAATGACAGCGTTTGCCAACCCCGTGGGACTTTACGCTCTTCGCGCTTGGGCGGCTAGCAATGGGCACTAATGACTGATATGTTGCATCTGACGAAGTATGTAGGATTAAATACCTTGCACCATCCCGGCCATATTGCTCTGGCAGTCATATTCGTCCATGGGCCGGGGGAAATGGCCAGGAAACACGCATATAGTCAACGATTCACAACGCTGGGAGCTTCTGGCCCTGGGATTGGCTGCCTATCAAAAATGCGAGAGTCCGAGATGCGTTCATTTGGCTAGGATGCAGATTGAAGACACCGGAGCTAAGTCTAGGTCCATAATTTGGCCATGAAAGGCTGAGGGAGATGAAAATTAACCTGCAGATGCAACTTGGCTGATAATCCTAGAGATACCTCTCCTTTGAGTCATGGCTCATTAATGATATTTTGACAAAACTCGAATGCACTGACCCTTCTCAAGCACGTATCACAATTCTGACAAGTCTGCATTTATCGCTGGCGGAAATACTCCCGAGATTAAACGCTGTATTGGCTGCCTCACTCTCACTATCACACGAGTTAATGTTGTTTCCGTAACGGCTGCCAGAATACCAAACTGACTACACGAAAGATGATATTATGGGATTTTCAGCGAGGCCTCCAAAGATGTATAACTATGATTGCCTTTGGTGTTGATTCACGGCGGCTTTTAATTTTAGATAGGCAACAACATCTTTTTCAGCGACTACATATCTACCTACAGACCTAATTGCTAGTGACTGATAGACTTACACAGATGTCTTTATGTTTCAATACAATTGTTGATTACAACATGTAGGTAACATGTGTGAATTAATCGTTACGAACAGCTTCAGAAATATCAACACATCTCTTTTTCTCATTATCCTTGCCGTTATCTTCTGTTCTTCGGAGAAGGAGATCCCCTCATCTGTATACGGCAAAACGAAATACTAGGAAGCTCGATAGCCAACTTGAAAATAGTTGAGAGAAGAAAGTGTGTGTAGGTACATACATGTATCTACACATCTACCTCTACCTACAGCCAGATGCCAGAAATATTGGTGCTGGTGAGCAAGAAACTGAAGCTATTGGCGATACATAGGTAGGTACTAGCTAAGAAATGAATATTATTGCCGTCTATATCCTGCATGAAACGCATACGTGCATCTATAAGCGCTTACCTAAAGCCTTTCCAGCCTGCATTCTGCAATTCTCCAACAGCCGTCACCTGACGAAATACAGGCAAGTACACATGTACCTTGTCAGACCTGCTTAGGCGCTGAATGGCTACGGTTGGCCGCGCAGAAAGCGCCGCTGCAGCACTACAAGGAATCGTGCGTCTTGAATCATGCACTGCACACGCTGGCGGTTCAAAAGATCCGCAATAGAGACCTGCTGTTGGCCTGCTTTTTGCTATTGAAAACAGAGACCGGGGGAAAAAAAAAGGGAGGGAAAAAAAGGTTATAACTGCGCCAGCACCAGCGCCACACATGATCCAACCCCTCCAGCGCGTTTAAAACGTGGAATGCTGCCACGCAACCGGCCTTGCAAGTACAAACTTTCCAACTTAATCACCAACACATACTTCGCATATCTGCCATCATTATTCTCGAGTTACGCTTCTCCATAAAAAGCTCCTGTGCAACAAAGACAATATGGCTACGGGAATGCGAACGAAGAGAGTGGCCAAGGAGCGCCAAAAGGTAAGATGTTTCGCTGTGCAGTCAGCTGGCATAGATGCCTTTCTCCAGAGCTGACGCTACTGTAGATAGATAAATTTGGTCTACCTCCTGGTATAGAGCTCGTGAACGGCGACGACTTGAAGGAATGGCTCTTTGACATTCGTGTCTTGGACAACAACCCTCTGTATAAGGATAATGTCTATCGGCTGAAATTCGTCTTCTTTGACTCGTACCCCATAGGTACGCTCATGCTGCCAGCACCCTCGTCGCCCTTGAAGCAATCAGACTAACAGACAAACCAGAGCCTCCAGAGGTCACCTTCGTCAACAACCCAACCCGCCCAGTCCCCATGCATCCGCACATCTACTCGAACGGAATTATTTGTCTTGACCTCTTGGGAAACCAGGGATGGAGCCCTGTCCAAAGCGCCGAGAGCATCTGCATGAGCATACAAAGCATGCTCACCAGCAACAGCAAGAACGAGCGACCGCCTGGCGATGCAGAGTTTGTGCGTGTCAATAGGCAGCGACCACGAGATATAGAATTCTTGTATCACGACAATACCGTGTAACAGCCTCAACTCAACAGATGACTACAGCTCATTTGCTTTCTCGTCCTTTTCCTTTTAGTACTTCTGGGCGGGTTCTTGTAATTTAGCGGTCATAATGGCTCAGCGGCGTTCATGATACAACCCCTTCTTGCAGCATGGAACTAGACACATACCACTGCTTGGCTTGGGTCCTTTATCTGCTGATTTTTCTGGGGCCAAGCAAGTTTTTTTTTTCGGTGGCTTTTAAGGAGTAGTCTGGGGTCTTGTTTCGACGCCTCGCGCAAAGTCGTGCATGGCGCGACTCAGAGCGAGGACTGGCGGGGAGAGCTCAAGTAACCTTTTGTAACCTGGAGGACGACCATATGGGTATACACACAGCTTATAGAATTGGTCGGGGATATTTATTCTATTCATTTTAGGCCACATATAGCGTCAAAGTGGACTCTTTTGCTTTCCTTTGCGGCAAACCAGAAACAAATATTCATTCTCATTGATGGCATGATTGCTGCTATACCCCAAGAGGCCTGGACATATGACGTCGCCCCTCCGCTGCTTTTTGTGCCAGTGACAGCTCTCCCCTCTGGCGGGGCTGGCCTCACCGCCCGCCGTACGCCACACTTTGGCCCCCCTGGCTACTACAGAAACCAGGACCTAGCTGTCTCATCCTCCGCCAAACATCCCCCACGAGCTCTCTGCCGCGGGCAAATCATGGCTCCTCGCGCGGAATTCAGCACCGAGCAGATCCGGGGCAAAGCTCGAAAGGACCTACTCTACCTGCTCGAGGGTGTAAGTAAGGCTCACTGTCGCTGAGAGTTCGTTGGAAGCTCTGCCTAGCTAACCAGCAGCTGTCGCGCAATCTATAGGTCCGCGGCAAGAAGAACCTCGTGTTTGATCGCAGCCTTGTCGGCCCCATCGGTACAATCGTCAAGGTCGCCACGCTCCAAGAGTACGGGGTCGACAAATTCTTCATTCTAGAAAACAATAACGTGGATGCGAGCCAGCGCAATGTCGTCTTTGTGGCCAGAGGCGAGTGCGGTCGGCATGCCGAGGCCATAGCAGGTAAGATACAGGAAGTGACGATACCCATGCGGGCGCCCTACTCTGTTTCTTCAGCGCCATAATCAGCTCCATTGACTTGAGATGTCGTCGTCTCAGATGAAATGGTTGGCTAGCCAGCAGCTGCAGTGAGTGAGCTGACGCAACGTGCCCCTCCAGCGCAGATTAAGCGAATTCAGCGTGAGAGCCAGACAACTCATGACTTCCACATATTCTGGGTGCCACGTCGCACCCTCGTCTCCGATCAACTACTCGAAGAAGCCGGTGTTCTAGGCGATGTCAACATTTCTGAACTGCCGCTGCTCTTCTTCCCGCTCGAAGAAGACGTTCTATCGCTTGAGCTAGAGGATTCCTTCAAAGACCTCTATCTGTCCAAAGATGTCACACCAAACTTTCTCATGGCCAAAGCGCTCATGGAAGTGCAGCAGAACCACGGCCTGTTTCCACGAATCATTGGGAAAGGTGACAATGCGAAGCGGGTAGCAGATCTCCTCGTCCGCATGCGCCAAGAACGGCTGGCGGGTGAAGATGGGAGCGACGTCAAAACAGCGCTGACGCCCAGCACCACGAACGAGAGTGTCATCATTATCGATCGTGAAGTCGATTTCGTTACCCCACTACTCACGCAGCTGACATATGAGGGACTTATTGATGAGATTTTTGAAATTCAAAACAATCAGGCCAAGGTAGACACAACCATCGTCGGGGCACCGGCGCAATCTTCAGCGGCCACCTCACAGAGCAGGAAGCGGACGGTACAGCTCGATAACAGCGACAAGCTATATGAGCAACTACGAAACGCCAACTTCGCCATCGTGGGTGGGCTGCTCAACAAGGTCGCCCGGCGTCTTCAAAAGGTACAATCAGATTACGAGAGCAAGCACAAGACCAAGACAATTGCCGAGCTGAAAGAATTCGTGAGCCAACTGCCCGGCTACCAACAAGAGCACCAAAGCGCGAGGATACACACCGGCCTTGCTGAGGAAATCATCAAACACACACGAACTGATTTATTCAAGGGCCTTCTCGAAGTTCAACAGAATCTCGCTGCCGGTGCCGACCCATCGTCTCAATTCGACGGCATAGAAGAGCTCATTGCTAGAGATGCTCCTTTGCGGGAGACTCTTCGTTTGCTCTGCATCTACTCGTGCATCTCTGGAGGAATAAAACCCAAGGATTTCGAGCAGTTCAAGCGTCTGATACTCCAAGGATACGGCTACCAACATCTACTCACACTCAACAATCTTGAGAAGCTGCAGCTATTTCTATCGCGCTCTTCTCCACTAGCGGGGATGATCCCGATGACGGGCAATGCTGGCGCCGACGGCAACAAAACCAACTACACATACCTACGAAAGCAGCTGCGTCTAATTGTCGACGAAGTGCAGGAAGACGACCCCAACGACATTGCCTACGTTTACAGCGGTTATGCTCCTCTTTCCATTCGACTTGTACAATGCGTTCTTCAGAAGCAGTATCTATCATCTATTACGAAAGGAAATGGCACAGCGAATGCGAGCGGTACTGTCCCTGGTGCGGGAGCCCAAGGATGGCACGGATTTGATGAAGCCGTCAAGCACGTCAGGGGCCAGACTTTCTATGAGCTTCAGAAGGGCGAGGATAAGGCCGTCAAAGCTAGAGCACTATTATCCGGCAGTGGACACAAGCAGACCGTCTTTGTTGTCTTCATCGGAGGTGTTACTTTTACAGAGATCGCCGCGCTGAGATTCATCGCGAAGCAGGAGCAGGGTAAGTCGAGCAAAAGACGCGGACGCGGTGCATGCTAGCTAGTGCAAAAGCTAACATCCCTTCTCAGATCGGAGAAATATAGTAATCTGTGCGACTTCTATAATCAGCGGGAACAGGATGATGGATGCGGCAACCGAGAAAGAAGCGTTCGCCCGCAAAGAGGCAACGCTACCCAACAGCCCATAGGCTCTGGCGCATCGAGTCGTGACACGATATTATATTTGGAGTTTGGCGGCGTACTGGCTGGTGGGAGATAAATTTTATGTGTGGCATACAAGCATCTTGATCGACATTTTGATATGAAAGCCTCTTTTTCCTCTCTCCTTTCTTATTTTCCTCTTTTCCTCCTCTTCCCTTTTTTTCCTACAACCTCATTCGCGCTGTCTCATCGCTGATGCCTCGTTGTTTGAAGTTCGTCCAGAGTCCAAATATCACCGGATTAGTTCGGAGTAGAGCGCGCCCCACATCAGAGAGCGTCGCGATTGGATTGTTTGTCCCACGTGACCAGTGCCTATGCGATTGAACTCGGCGTCCTTGAGGGGCCATGATGAGCTGATGGCCTATATTATTCCTGCTCATTGGCCCTTCCTTGCAGTATAATACGACCGGCTGCGCTGTTGGACACTTTCTGTTCCCAGCCGAAAATTCATTCAAGGGTCCAATAATCAATGATCTCAGCCCATCTCGGATTCGCAGTGCGGCCCTTGTAATCACTACTCCTTTAGACCTGCTCTTCAGCCGCTGAACCTCCAGGCCATCTTATTCCGCTTACAACAGTAGGTGCATATACACCAGGCAGTGAGATCAATGGGCGTCTTTGGCTGACATCTCGATTAGACAGAGGCTCTTCATGGCAGGTCCTCTCATGATATGATGCATTTGCCCAGCGTCATGCTGTATATGTATGACATAGTGCCGAGTATCGACCTCCAAATCACCGTTGCCATTCCGACATCCGTACCTAGCCTCTCATATATCGACGCCGAACCGTCCTAGCCGTCGTTAGAGCAGGTGCCCGGTTGGGTTCTTCACCATGGCAACTATTTTCGAGAATCACCTCAGACTAGAAAAGGAAGTACCGGCTGGGCAGATTTTTTCGCATGCGCAAGACATCGACTCTTCATCGATATCAAGCTTAGCGCCCGAGTCCGTCTCCAACAACCAAGGCCATATAGCGGTGTCACCCAGCAGCAGTCTGAGCACTCCCCACGCATCAAGGCAAGGCTCGTCGGATGAGTCTTCAGAGGTCGCGCCTGAGATTGTCGTGTGGACGGAAGATATGGATATGAGCAGCAACTTATCATCCCAAGACCCGGACGAGACTTCCAGCATGCATCTCGGCACGGAGTGAGTTTTGACCACCACAGACACCCTTGAGCAAAGGAAAATGCGAAGGATTTTTTTTTTTTATCACCTCTATATTTGATTGATCGTTCACTACAATCTTAATTTTTTTTTTTAACCTCCCTAACATCTCGATAGTGATGAAAGGCCTGACTTCACCGATAATGTCCCACAGCAAGCCGAACCTAAGGAGGACGCTTTTATCGAATCATTCTCCTCCTCGCACTCTGCATTGACGGAGCTTTCAGAGCCTTCATCTACCCCATCCATCGTCTCTAGTAAAGCGACGACGCCTATCGAGACCGAGTTACCTAGCCATCCTCAGTTTATTGAGGCTACGTCAGGTTTTTCAACCTCATCACATCGCCATGATATTGAGAGTTTACCCTTCAACATTCGGCCAAAGTCATCTATACCTACAGATATCCCATCATATCAATATGCCAGCGAGTGCATCGCCGCAGCCGAGTCATCGCGACTCAATCCATACGCGCTGCATCCTGGAGAATATCATTTCCTACGACACCACATATCTCATACTCAGGTTACGACGTATCTAAATATCCGAAACGGTATACTGCGTATATGGATGAAGCAGCCGTCAGTTGGTGTAACGCGGCAAGACGCAGTCGGATGTGCAAATGCACGCTGGTTTGATGCTGCAAACGTGTGCTACGACTGGCTAGTTCGCAACGGGTACATAAATTATGGTTGCGTACAGCTTCCGAAAACCCAATTGGAGTTCAGGAACGGGTCGCCCACAAAGAAGCGAAAGACGATCGCTGTTATCGGAGCAGGCATTTCAGGCTTATCCTGTGCCAGACAGCTAGAGAGCCTATTTACACAATATGCAGGCCGATTCTATGCAAGAGGAGAGGAAATCCCGAACGTGATCGTTCTCGAAGGTAGAAGTCGCGTTGGCGGTAGAGTATATTCTCGCGAATTCAAAACAAAAGCAGCTGGAATTGAGCCTGAGTTCACCGGCAAGCGGCATACCGCCGAGATGGGCGGTATGATTATCACAGGATTTGACCGTGGCAATCCCATGAATGTTATTGTCCGTGGGCAGCTGGGAATACCATACCATGCGCTTACTGCTGATACTACCATTTACGACAGCAATGGCAAGCCTGTAGATCCAGTGAGGGATCTTCTGGTCGAGAAGCTCTACAATGACTGTTTAGATCGTGTCAGCGAATTCAAGTATAAGTTTCAGCCATCTAAGCTGATCGAAGGCAATCGTGATCTTCTCGACGAAGGTCGGGATAGCCTCGGGGATGGCTCCAAGTCCATTATCCAAGCTGAGGAAGCAACCGCTGCGCTTCCCGATGCCCCCTCAGTATCACAACAAAACGTACCGGAAACTGTAAATATGGTTCCTGTGTCTGCAGACAAACTGACAGGACGAGTACATACCGAACCCGGCGTTCCCGCAACCCTAAAAGCTTCGGAAAAGGCAAAACTTATGGGGTGGAGCATTAAACCAGGAGCAGCAGAGAAGGGCAATCTCGATTTAACCCAAGCCAGCTCCCTAGAGAAAGCAACGCTGGGATCAGTTTTGGACCATGCCATCACCCAGTACAAGAATATTGTTGATTTAAACGCACAAGATCACCGATTGATAAACTGGCACATTGCCAATTTGGAATACAGCAATGCTACGAACCTGCATAAACTAAGTCTTGGCCTCTGGGACATTGATGCCGGCAACGAATGGGAAGGCAATCACACAATGGTTGTCGGCGGGTACCAAAGCGTTGCCCGCGGCCTGCTCCAATGTCCCTCGCCGCTCAACATAACAACCAAATTTCCCGTCCAAAAAATCACCTATCATGGTGAAAGCTTCGATGGCCCTGCCACCATTGAAAGCGAAGATGGCGCAAAGGTGGAAGCAGATGCTGTTGTCTGCACGATTCCACTGGGCGTTCTAAAACAAGGAAATGTGACTTTTGAGCCTCCGATGCCTTCCGAAAAGGCGGATGTGGTTGGCCGTCTAGGCTTTGGCATCCTCAATAAAGTCGTCTTACTTTACGACAGGGTGTTCTGGGATTCAAATAGGCACATATTCGGTGTGCTCAGAGACGCTCCTAACCGACACAGCACATCTCAGCAAGATTACGGCCTCAACCGTGGACGCTTCTTCCAGTGGTTCAACGTCTCTAATACAACTGGCCTGCCCTGCCTGATCGCGCTTATGGCTGGCGACGCTGGCTTTGATACAGAGCATACGAGCAATGACAGCCTTGTCGCCGAAGCCACAGAGATCTTGAGAAGCGTATTCGGTAAAGATGTTCCCTATCCTGTAGAGACGGTAGTGACGAGATGGGGATCGGATCGGTTTGCCCGTGGAAGCTACTCTTCTGCCGCGCCCGACATGCAGCCAGATGATTATAACATCATGGCACAGTCTACAGGCAACCTATTCTTCGCTGGTGAGCACACCATCGGTACACACCCTGCAACTGTACACGGAGCATATCTGTCAGGACTACGCGCTGCCTCTGAAGTACTAGAAGCAATGATTGGTCCCATTGAAGTTCCGACTCCTCTCGTTCTCCCGAGGGACTCACTTCTGCTGCATAAACGTAAGGAGGCAGCCAAGGATCCCCGGCAGGCGCGCTTAGAAGCATACGAGATAGAATCATGGGAACACGTTCTCTCAAAGATTGGTGAACGGCCGCTCCGCCCAAACAAAGTATCTGGCAGCGCCTACATCATATTTAGCAAAACCCACTTCGACGCCGCGAAAAAGAGGTGCGAAGCAAGCCGCAAACCTGGCAGAAGCCGGTCGGTGCCCAACGAAGTCCGCATCATGATGTCCCGCATGTGGAAAGAGACTACTCCAGACGAGCGAAAGCCGTACGAGGAGCAGGCCGCTGAACAGAAGAGACTCTACTTGCAAGCCATGCAAGAGTATAACGGGCTGGCTGAGAAATGGGATCGTGAAGCTATCGCTATCCGAGCTGCTTACGAAAAAGAACATCCTAGCCTGCCAGGCCCTGAGGAGGGCCATGAAGATCTCTCGATGACGCCGAAGCATCGTCGAGCCAGGAATGTGAGCTATACGGAGGTCAGAGATTACGAGTAGGAGTTGTAAAAATGACGAGAGATCTTCTCGTTGGAAGCATTGAAAACCATGGCGTTTGGAATGTCTATTTCCTTCTAGGTCCCACCGGATTGTGGGAAACTTTGATAAAAATCATTATTTTACGTCGAGGATAGGGGCGCCATGATGGGGCGCAAGGTAGTTTTCATTGGGATGGGTTTTTATATGTGGAGAGTGACATGTCTATAGCTTATAAGAACTTCATACCTACTTACTCTAGGCATCTGTTAATCAATGGGACGTTGTAGTTTAACCATTTAATTTCACTTTGCTCATCTTAAAACAAGAAACAAGAAAACTAGTTCTTGAAGCTGTATACAACTTTTAGTTCATTTTCGTCTTTTAATCTACTAAGAAAATTTATTTGTGGGTTTGATACACTGGCTGGGACCACCGCGCTGGGTAACCTCTAGCTTCGATATTACAAAGGATGGGGAAAAAAGCTCAGCGCGCCAGCTCTCTTTCTACCAACATAAAAAAAAAGATATAACTTTATTCTTCTTCTTCTTTTTTACATATCGGCGGAGGCAGTAGCACCAGTAATAATCTCGACCAGCTCTCCGGTAATGACAGCCTGTCGGGTACGGTTGTACAGAATCTGGTACCTGCCAATCATCTCACCAGCGTTCTTGGAGGCGTTCTGAGAAACGTAGAATTAGTATTTTAATAAGAGAAGAAAAACAAATTTTATGTGGAAAAAATTAATGAAAACTTACGTCCATAGCGTTTCGTCGGGCAGACTGCTCGCAGGCGTGACCCTCAGCCAGAGCCCAGTAGAGGGAGTTGGCAAGGCTATACTCGCGGAGGTTGCCGAGAGCATCGTCCTCAACCTCGAAGGCAGAGATGTTGGCTTTTTGGTTGTTAGTATTATTTCCTGAATTGAAAAAAAAAAAATGTCAATTGCAACATACGGGACTGGGAAATGGCCTCCTCGGAAAATGCCTCAATGAAGGTAGGCTCGTAGCTGGTGGCGTTGATGAACTTGTTGTACAAGATCTTGACGTCGGTGTACTCGGTGGGCAGGTTGACAATCTGGTCGGCGATAGCCTGAGCATCGGCAAAGGTAGGAATGTCCTTGCCAACACCGGCGAAGCTGAGCTGGATGTTCTTGGAGTTGGTTCGCTGCAGCTGAGCCTTGCTCTTCTCACCAATGAGGACCAGGTCGAAGTTCTCGCCCTCGGCGAAAAGGCGACGGATGGTACGGGTCATTCCGGAGTGAATACCACCGCAGAGACCCTTGTCGGAGGAGCAGACGATGACGAGGGACTTCTTCTCGTCGGCCTCGGCGGCGGTGGTCTCGGCAGCCTCGAAGACCTCGTTGGAGGTCTGGCCGTACTTGCGGGAGTCGTTCATGCTGCGGGTAGCACGGGTGAGCTTGGTGGAGGCGACGATCTTCATGGTGTTTGTGATCTTCTCGATGTTTCGGATCGACTTGAGACGAGTCTCGATCTCACGGAGAGTCGCATAGGTGGCGGCGGTGCTGGGGCCAGCAGCAGCTCTAAAGCAAGAGTCATTATTAGCCCACCAAGTCCGCTGAACTTGCAATTTTCCCTCTCTTTAAAGCGATTAAATGGCATCACAGTCCTCCACTGGCCGCAGCCTCTTCGCGTTGGTTGTCGTAAAGGCGTCCATGAAAATCGCAAAACTCGTTCGCGGGCCACTTCGATGCGGCTATAACAAATTCTTATAGATGCTAGTTCCCGAAGAGAAAAAAAAACTTACCGGGAGGGAGCTGCAACTGCAGCTCGCAGAGCAGGTCGGGCAGCCCTTGACAGCATTGTGGCGGATGTGAAGAGTCGAAACTAAGCCCTCTGGTCAACGCAGACCCAATTGATCGTGACGGCAGCGGATCAATTGACGGGGTGTTCGTGGGGATGCGGTTCGGGTTGTTGAGTGATTGCAGTTTTGCTCACTTTCTCGGCAAATCGACGGGAGACCACGGGGAGGACCAAGGTATCTTCGTACCTACTATACCGCTATATGCAAAGTGTGGGGGCTGCAGCCTTGCTCGTGCACTAACAAACTTTGCACGCCGCGCATAAGGAAAAGTGTTATCTTATTGTTTGCAGCGGAACCCGTTACAGCGATACTAAAGTGGGTCTTGTCAAATATCGTTATAAGGCAGACTTAGGATAGCTGCATCGAAGACGATAGATGCATAAGGCTTTTCATGCCGAAAACACGAGGGCGTTCCTTCTTGAACTCTTTTTCTGCCCAGCTTTTCTGCCCTCTTTAGACTCTCTCTCGCCCTAAGGCTGTCGAGGTTAAGTTCTCGCCAGCCTGCTCTAAAGTCAGCAGATCTGTTCTTTTCTTTTTTCCCCCGATTCTCCCTCGGCCTTGCACTTGGCAATCGCGGCTTCAACATTCCTTCGGTCTCTCGCGCCTCATTCAGAGCCTTGCATCTATCGAGTGCCAGCCGGTCCACGCTGCAAACCATGGCTTCCGACAGCTCAGACGATGATTTGCCCATTGCGAAGGCAAATGGGCGTTGTGAGTCATCTCCAGTTTGCATCCTAATCTTTTTTACTTCTCTCTCTTCTCTCTTTTCTTCGGTTTCAAACTCCCAGGATCAATCTATTCTCGGCACACGCGCGATTGCGCTGGCGCTTACGGTCGAGACGCACCTCCATGTCGAATCGCGCGCAAGTAAGCATTGGCTACTGGCTAACCGTGGCATCAACTCTAGTGTCATCATCGAAGATCTCTCGCGCCGAAGACATCGCCTTGGATAAGTCCATGTCCAAGCCCTCTGGAATGGCAGGCTTGTCCATCCGAAATGGACCTGTTGTGAACGGCGAGATGGATTTGGATTCGCCGTCTACCAACGGATCCAAGCGCAAGTCACGAGATTCGATCACCAAGGTCGACTACAAGGATGAGTCGGAAAGCGATGGTGAGCCTCTGGTAGGTGATGCCCTTCATAACTTTGATGCCGACCTTGGTGTAAGCGCAGTCAGCTAACACTATGCGCTATAGGCGAAACGACAACGATCCAAAAAGGTCCAGGAGTCGGATTCAGACGATGAGCCTATGGTGAAGGCTAGAGGGAAGAAACTGCCGCCGTCTTACAAAGAGACTGCGCTACCTGAATCCTCTTCTGATGATCAGCCGCTCGGTGTTAAGCTCGCTAAGAAAAAGGCTGACATCGAGAGGAAGGGTGAATTAGAGGCCAAAGCTATTCGTGCTAAGGAATCGAAGGCAAAGGCGACACCGAAGAAGGCTCTGAAGAACGAATCGGATGATGACTTGCCTCTTGCAGCATCTAAAAAGCGACAATCAAATGGCACGACTGCAAAGAGAAAATCTACGGCCGTGAAGAAGGATGAATCTGACTCTGACGCTCCCATCTCCAAGAAGTCCAAAGCGGTCAGTGCCCCCGCCAAGGGGAAGAGAGCGTCTTCAGCAAAGGATACAAAGGATGTTAAGAAGGGCAAGGCCAAATCCAAGGAGCCCAGCGATGAAGATGAGGAAGAGGGATTCGAGTGGTGGAATGCGCCAAAGAAAGAAGATGACAGCATCAAGTGGAAGACTCTTGAGCACAACGGAGTTCTCTTTGCGCCAGAATATCAACCTCTCCCAAAGAACGTCAAGATGTACTACGATGGAAAACCTGTGACTCTCAGTCCGGAAGCAGAAGAAATCGCGACCTTCTGGGCATCAATGATGACTGCTGCTTCTACTCACCACCTTGACAATCCTGTCTTCCGCAAAAACTTCTTCACCGATTTCTCTGATTGCATCAAGAAGTATGGCGCTAAAGACGCGAGTGGAAACAAGATTGACATCAAGAGCTTTGACTTGTGTGACTTCTCCAAGATTGCAGAATATTGGGCGGCAAAGAACGAAGCCAAGAAAGCGATGACCAAAGAGGAGAAGGCCGCTGTCAAGGCCGAAAAGGATGCTCTCGAAGCTCCATACCTTTACTGCACGTGGGACGGAAGAAAGCAGAAAGTTGGCAACTTCCGAGTGGAACCTCCCAGCTTATTCCGTGGTCGAGGAGAGCACCCCAAGACTGGTAAAGTCAAGACTCGAGTAACGCCAGAGCAAATCACCATCAACATTGGCAAGGGTGCCAAAGTCCCAACTCCGCCAGCTGGACATAAGTGGAAGGCCGTCCAGCATGACCAGAAAGCGACATGGCTTGCCATGTGGCAGGAAAACATAAATGGCGCTTACAAATATGTCATGCTTGGCGCTGCCAGTGATGTCAAGGGCCAGAGTGACTTTAAAAAGTTCGAGAAGGCCCGTGAGCTCAAGAAGCACATTGACAAGATCCGCCGAGACTATACCAAAGATCTTAAGAGTGAGGTTATGGCGGATCGTCAAAGAGCTACAGCCATGTACCTGATTGACAGGCTTGCTCTCAGAGCTGGAAATGAAAAGGACACAGAAAACGAGGCGGATACCGTTGGCTGCTGCTCATTGAAATACGAGCACATCTCCCTGCAACCCCCAGACCAGGTCACATTTGACTTCTTGGGCAAGGACAGTATCAGATACAACGAGACAGCCCGCGTGGATGCTCAAGTTTTCAAAAATTTGAAGCTTTTCAAGAAGGCGCCAAAGACTGATGGCGATGACCTCTTCGATCGTCTTAACGTAAGTAGCATTACATCCCTACGATCTAGACAGCATAGAATAATCACTAACAAGGAACTCATAGACATCTCAACTGAACAAGCACCTGAACAGCTGCATGCCTGGACTGACTGCCAAGGTCTTCCGTACTTATAACGCGTCTCACACCATGTCCGAGCTTCTCAAGGAGCTAGGTAAGGACCCGCGCTCTCGAGGAACTATTGCGGACAAAGTGAAGCTGTACAATGACTGCAACCGCAAGGTTGCCATTCTTTGTAACCACAAGCGTACTGTTGGCGCAAGCCACGAGCAGCAGATGCAAAAGCTTGGAGATCGCGTAAGCTTCTTTCCTCCCCCTTCTCTCGAGATATGTATAACGAAAACAAGCTGCTAATTATTCCTCAGATCAAGGGCCTCAGGTACCAGCAATGGCGGACAAAGAAGATGATCCTTGACATTGATCCAACTCAAAAGAAGAAGAAGGGCGCAGCTTATTTTGTGCGGGATGAGGATCTTGAAGATGAATGGGTCAAGGAGCATCAGGCCTTCTTAGTTGATGAACTACGCACCAAGATCCAGAAGAAGTTTGAAAAGGACAACGAGAAGCTCAAGGCTAACAAGGAGCGAGTCATGCCTGAAAAGGAGCTTAAAGAACGCCTTGGGGCAGTCAAGGAGATGGAAGCCAGATTCAAGAAGGAGAATAAAACTGGCAAAGTCGAAGCCGAGGGCAGAGGAGCGTCGGTCGAAAAATATCTGTCTTCTATCGACAAGATTGATGAGCGTATCAGGGTCTTGGAGACTCAAGCCGAAGACCGCGATGGCAATAAGGAGGTTGCCCTGAGCACTTCGAAGATTGTAAGTCTAAGAACATTGCAATTCAAGCAAAAGATACTAACAATGGACTGCAGAATTACATTGATCCTCGTCTGACGGTAGTGTTCTCGAAGAAATTCGATGTTCCTATAGAGAAATTCTTTTCCAAGACTCTGCGAGACAAGTTCCGATGGGCTATCAAGTCGGTCGAAGACGCAGAAGACTGGGAATTCTAAAGCGGAATTCACAGGGACGAAGAATTTCACAGTGCTCGCTGTAAGAAAATTTATTTTTTCTTATTTACTTGCTGCTTTTGCTTTTTCCTTTCCTCTTCATTGAAGTCATTCTGCGGCCTCTACAAACAGAGGCATATATATCTATATACAATATACATTTACAGTAAAGGTCGCAGGCAATCTGCACCTTGAGGACTCCAGCCCAAATATCATTCAGATAGACGCGGCGCAGCAAAACAGAGCACTTATTTATCCAATTTTTTTTTTCAACTGTATTTTCACGGCTCCCACGAAAGGTACGATGGAGTTTATGAGGGGTGATGGCGAAAAAAAGGAGAGATTCGAACATGGTCAAACGCACACAGCGGAAACTGGAAGGAGGCTCGCACGCACAAACGTGCTTATTTCGGCGTGTTTAGGGCGATGAACCGAGTGGTAAAAGGTAGAGAGAGAGAGAGGCGCAGAATTCTTTGTTTGCTGAGATTCTTTCTTTTACGTTTGGGGATCCGGCTGAGAGGGAAATCGATGGGGCATGCGTAGGAGATAACGAGACACATAGCGAGGAATTCAAGATAGCTTTGAGCTGGGATAGCTTGAGCCATGCCGTATTGCTTTAATTGATGATTTTACTTGACCTTTTCCTTCTAAATTGGTAGATGTGAGATACCTATAGCGTTTGCTACATTTGAATGTCAATGATTGTTACATAGATAAAAGCGTTCAACGAATAATACAGATCATCGGCTTCATTGATTATCGTCTTCATTGGTATGTGAGCCAACGCCCGCCTATACACATGGATTAATATATACAACGATTTCATATCAAAACTGCATAATTGCGGCTGCCAACTTGTCCATCGTTCTCTTCATGCTCATGCCATCTATAGTGAGTATCCAAAAGCTATGTATGCCGTGATAAAACGCCCTAGTAAAATGCAATCCCCGTGTGGAGCACTATTCCTCTTGCTTCTTTTGCCAGTTTATAAACCCCCATCAGCGTCTTCTTCCCCAGTATATACATTCCAGCCATTCATTAAGCATCATCAGCCATTAAAACCGCTGTCGGTCCGTTCGTGCACTCGTCATTATATTCTTACAGCAAGTGCCAGCGCACCCATCGCCACATGGCCCAGCACAACCATCAACAAC